GGCGGTGGGGTAGCCTAATGGTTAAAGCGTTGGCTCGTCACGCCGAAGATCCGGGTTCGAATCCCCACATGGGTACAATGTGTGAAGCCCATTTCTGGTGTCCCCCGCCGTAATGTTGCTGGAATATTGCTAAAAGCGGCGTAAAACCAAACTCAGTCAGTCAGTCTGGCTTTGTAAACATGCCGCCGTTCTCGTATGTTTCAACAACATGCGAGGCCTGCATCATTTAGGGTATACCTTCCACATCATGCTTGCTTGACTTGAATTAACTGGATTCCTGGTCAAGGTGGCTTTATAACAGATTCATTCACTGCAGTGTAACCCATGATGAATTCAAGTACAAACACATCAAATATCATTATAAAGTCGAACCCACAAGCAGATCTCGGTACGGCTAAGGGGCGTAACTCACTAAAGAGAACTGTGGTACTTAAGATAACTAACCTTCTCATCACGTGCTTCTTAAATGTTCACTTTGCATAACTCTCTAAAGCTCCCAGGGGCGGCGGGGTAGCCCGCTGGTAAAGCGTTCACTCGTTACGCCGAAGACCCGAGTTCGATTACCCACATGTGCGAAGCCCATTTCTGGTGTCCCCCGCCGTGCTATTGCTGGAATATTGTTGAATGCGGCGTAAAAACATACTCGCACGCTCATCCCTTTAGGTCATAAGCTACATCTTACATATAACTTCCATGGATTCAACTACAAGTGAAGACGGCTTGTGCGAGCGAAATTGTGCCATCAGAAATACTTTTCATAAAAATAATAAACGTGGTTCACTAACCTGTATGTCACCAACACAATGTAATCAGGATGCTAGCTTTACTTACCAGTACACTAAATATGTATACTAAGAATAATCGGTAGTTATCATATATAGAACAACAACAGTCCCGATAAACTCGGTTATCTCGTTACCCTCCAGCGCTGGACAATAACGGGGAAGATAAAGCTGACCGACGGAAACTACCGACTGCCCCGTTCGTGACATTACGGGACAATGGCGAGCTTCCTACAGGTTACGGAAAGGGACGAGATGTGACGAATATGGTCCTTCTGATCAAAGGTTGGTCGGTAATTCCTGGCTGATAATACATGTATTCTGAAAAGATAGAATTGAATTCATTTATCTCCTAAAGAGCTGATACCGGTTACTGGATGATAACTTATACATTAATACACATCAAAGTACCACTTGCAATACAATAATGCCAAACAATCATCAATCAAGTTTTTTTTTTATTTGCGTTAACTGTATTGGGTCGTTGGGTGATATCCAGCTTAGAATTGATCTTCAGGAACCCATGCTAGTCGTAAGAGGCGACTATCAGGATCGGATGGTCAGGCTCGGTGACTTGTTGACAAATGCCATCACATCCCAATTGTGTAGATCGATGCTCATAATGTTGATCACTGGATTGTCTGGTTAAATAAACATATTTCATTGATTTCTTGTTGTCCTTGTGTGGCAATTGGTTTGGAATAATTATTCAATAAGATAATATTTTACGAATCATTATGTCTCAACTACAAACTCTCAAAGTGGATGAACTTATTTTTGTCGTGAAAGGATACGTGTCACTTTTACCGTGGTCAAAGTTTACTTAATTGTGTGTCCGTGAAGACCCAGGATCGAACTGGCTTCCAACAACCCATGTTTGTTGTAAGGGACAGGGGCGATGGGGTATCCTGGTGGTTAAAGCGTTCGCTCGTCACGCTGAAAACCCGGGTTCGATTCCCCGCATGGGTACTATGTGTGAAGCTCATTTCTGGTGTCCCCTGCCGAGATATTGCTGTAATATTGCTAAAAGCGGCGTAAAACTAAACTCACTCACTCACACACTCGTAAGGGACACTGGTCTTCGTATCCCAATTGCTCGATGCTCATGCTGCTGATCACTGGATTGTCTGGTCCAGATTCGATCATTTACAGACCGCCGCCATATAGCTGCTGGGGTGTTGCCGAGTGCGGCGTTAAACAAAACAAACAAACAAACAAACAAACAAACAAACAAACAAACAAATACTTAATTGTGTATGTTGTGGGATGAACAGTACACACTTGAATCTTAATATATGCAACATCTTGTTTGGAAAGACATTTGTTTTGATATCGGGCGTCTACAATATTCTGATGAGTTCTCGGCAACCATTGTCGTATGCATCCATGAGTGTTGTTTTCATAAGCACTGTGTTTGCAAAAAATGCTAAAATTAACATAGATATGCATAGGATTAGAATCAAACATTTACCAAAATCACGGAGAATGTGTTGCATGGGAGTGGGCTATTTATGAAAAATAACCAGTACATTGATAAATTCCAGTGTTTCATATAAAATATTTCGACACAATAAAAAGCGCGAGTCGGTGCCCCAAACGCACTTGTATCCGAAATTGTACGTACGTTTCGTTTGCATTACGATCACGTGATCAGTGAATTTGTTTAGTTTTAGCAATATTCCAGCAATATCACAGCGGGGGAGACCGGAAAAAGAGCTTCACACATTGTACCCATGCGGGGAATCGAGCCTCGAGCAATTTAACCACAAGGCTACCCCACCGCCTCATGTGTGAGGTGAAACGTTGTTGACATAGGAATATGCATGCAAGTGTTTGCAAGTTGCCCAACCTATCCAAAAACTCTCCACGAACATAGTTGGTAAACGTGCTCTGTGCACTGGATAACACGACATCACTTAACCGTGAAGATCCGGGTTAGAACTGGTTTTGATCAACCCATGCCTGTCGTAGAAGCGACTAACGGGATCGGGTGGTCAGGCTCGCTGACTGGGTTGACTGACTGACTGACTGAGTTTGGTTTTACGCCGCTTTTAGCAATATTCCAGCAACATCACGGCGGGGGACACCAGAAATGGGCTTCACACATTGTACCCGTGGTGTAGTGGATTCGAACCCGGGTCTTCGGCGTGACGAGCCAACGCTTTAACGACTAGGCTACCCTCCGCCTTGGTTGACATACGTAAAGGTATCCCAACTGCCTTGGTCGATGACCATGCTGTCGATCACTGGATTGTCTGGTCAGACTCGATTATTTACAGACAGACACATTAAAGCTTGACTCTCAGTGAATCAAATAAGTGTTATGCCTGTTATTGTGACACATGACTTCATGGACCAACTAAACGTGACATCGGACATGATGTTGGCTGAGTTTGGGTAGAAAATACATGTTTCATGGCCAGACGATCTGACGTATTTGCTTGGCCAGTCTCTTTTTGTTTGTTTGGCCAGTCTCGACTACACGACTCGCTGTTTATGTTTGTCAAGTCAAAGTCAAAGGTGTTTTATTGTACTTAAGGCCTCCGGCCCATATACAGGTAATACAAGTATATATACAACACGTATTACAGACATGTCACAAAACAAATTACAGATAAGAGATTGCTTCTGAGGGATAACAGCATGTTTTACGTAAAGCGCTAGATTACCTATTACATTTTCATTTAGAATGGAATCAAAGGCAGTTGAAGGATATTTTAACTGATAATTATTTGGGATATATTGTTGTTATCTTGTGTACACACACACACACAACCCCAACTCACTTTTGACGTTTTTCATTCAAAAGAATCTCACCAGCTGTGGGAATCGAACGTAAAATCACCCTTCATCTACGTTTGCTTTCACTCTGTATTAACGGTCGATTCAACCACCATGTAATTATGCTGAAGGGTACATTTCTCGCCCTTCGTAGACAAGCTAACAAAAACAAAACTAAAAAACAAACGAAACATTTGGGGTGCACAAGGTTGGCACTGTCTAAACGTTTTTGCCGCCAAATTAAAACGGTTTTATGATCGTGTTTTGAACATTCATTGAGCTACTCTGGACCAGGCAATCCAGTGATCAACAGCATGAGCATCGATCTACGCAATTGGGATACGATGACACGATGAGTCTGACCACATCATCCCGTTAGTCGCCTCTTACGACAAGCATGGGTTACGGAAGATCAATTCTGACCCGGATCTTCAAGGGTACGACAAGCATTGGTTACTGAAGATCAGTTCTAACACGGATCTGAACGTGACGACAAACAACGTCACGCTTACAGCAAGGTATATTTTAGTACGAGGATCCATACGACTTGGCAGGCTACACTGCGTTTGAGAATCATACATAAAATGTTCATTAAATATATAAACATCTTGTGACCAGAAAGTATACACTTGAAAATCAGATTTGACCAAGAATTTACAGATGTAATCAAAACGACACTTGGCTAAATCAGTCGTCGAAACATCACAAACTGAAGGTCCTTAACACGTCCACCACTGCCAAGACACCAAACCCAATTATATGGTACAAGTATGACATACATCAGGACTGAATAAAATTTGTTTTAAAGTATGAGGTCAGTTTTATGGAGAAACTTCTTTATCCTGTATAGGCGACATTGGAATCTATGCCTGTACAGAATGAAGACGTTGTATATCCATAGAATTGTACTCATTCTTCATCTCCCCAAACTTCTAGAATGCCAATCAAAGACAATTTGTTTTGTTTGTTTGATATTTACATACTATAAGACGTGGATTTGCAGCCATCTGTTTCTGATGTTTCCGCTATTAAAAAGATAAAGCTACTCTGTTTTCAACGTTGCGGTCCTTTATCGTTCATTTGAGACCGCTAAATGTAATTTAAAAACCGAACGCGTTAGCGTGAACTTATTTCAAATTGAACATTTAGTGCTCTCTCTAACCTACGCTTTGAACACTTTGATAAGTAGAAATTCGCCCCAAAATACTGTCGTCACTAGGCTTTGAGTAGGTATAAGTAATTTTCCAGTTAAGCACTCTCAATTCCAGGCTTTAATCATTCTCAATAACGTAATATAACAACTTGACTTTGATGAGTACATATTTCCACTCACAGAATCCTAAATCGGAAATGTTCATAGCAGTTTGAAATTGTGCCATAGTTATAGGTTTATAACTGTACAATTACATTGTCACATTTATAACACATTGTCAACGTTCAATCTTCGTCAGTGACTGTGGCCTTTTTTGTTGTTATCCTCCCAAGTATGTCCTCCAAGATGACGGTGACTGTGTCTCCAACGTTAGCCCCCGACAGCACGTGTGACCTGACCTCTGTCGTGATATCCATGGCCACGAGATGACTACCGAGGTTGATGGTGTATTTGAACTGTGGAGTTGAAGAAACAGGCACTGACCACGTCACCAGCTTCGGCGTAGCTGTGGTTATGGTGAAGTCGATAGGTTTTTCCGTCGGTTCCAGGTGCGTTTGGACATCGAACCTCTTCGAGGTGCCAAGGCCTTGGGTAGGTTGTGTGGTGCCCCCACTTACCAAATAGTACCGGTCCTGGATTCTACCGGCGTCGTAGTTGTCGCTGTGGTTCGCGGTGCCGGTGCCCCTGACGACGTCAAACTTCCCCGAGGCAAAGGGGAACCACGTGCCGTCTGATTTTCTTTTGAAGCCGTCACGTAAAAAGGCTTTTCTCATGCTGTCTCCCGTCCCTGCCCAATCTTCCACAAAGCTTCCTGTGCTGGTGTTGAACATCACAGACTTCACAGGAAAGTCGACGGTGAGGACGTGGGTCCACTGCTTGTCCGTCTCGTCATAGATCCAGAAACCAAAGTTACTATGGCTACCGTAGTTCCAAACCCGACTTACAAGGGTATACCATTGGTCCGGCTGCCAGCCAATCGCAAAGTTCATACTTTTTAAACCAGTTCCTTCACTACCGAACCTTTGCGTCTCTGTCCAGATCCCGGTGAACGCCGGCTTGATGGGAAGGGTGGACTGGATTGGGTCCCACACGGAGTAGATGAGAGCTCTGCCATTTGGATGGTCCTGTAGCCCGCAGTATCCGCCACCCTCGCCGCCGGTGTTCCATTGCATGCAGCAGTAGTAGGTGTCCAAGGTCACGCCGTCGTGGGGGATTAAGACGCTCTGGTGGATGATGTCGCCGGGGAAGTGGTCATCGTAATGAAACCAGACGGACGGTGCTCTTGCCATGTTGAAATGTTTGCAAATACTGTAATAACAAAACCTCAAATTAAGTGCAGTTTGTCTGTACGCTTGTTAATGAACAGTCAGCACCATTTCAGCAATATGTACAGTTACTTTTTACCGTAATATCTATTAAGGGTAAAGGGGCGGTGGGGTAGCCTGGTGGTTAAGGCGTTCGCTCGTCACGCCGAAGACCCGGGTTCGATTCCCCACATGGGCACAATGTGTGAAGCCCATTTCTGGTGTCCCCCGCCGTGATATTGCTAAAAGCGGCGTAAAACCAAACTCACTTACTATTGTGTAAAGGAATAACAACCGCATTAGGGTCAGGTAGTCACAAACCTTTGTTGCGCATGCTCTCACCCATTTGTTCACTAGACATCTACTTCACACAATGGACAAAAACATGGAACAACAACATGTAAATAGACTACTCAACATTTCGTGTTGTTTCCTAATCAGGCCTACTAGAGGACAACTGGTGCACATAAAATTGCAAACTTAATTCTATCATTTTGAGTGAGTGAGTGATTATGTTTTACGCCGCTTTTAGCAATATTACAGCAATATCACTGCGGGGGACACCAGAAATGGGCTTCACACATTGTGCCCATGTGGGGATTCGAACCCGGGACTTCGGCGTGACGAGCCAACGCTTTAACCACCAGGCTACCCCATCGCCCCTTATCATTTTGAACTGCACCTGCCGATTCATTGAATAGCATCATCTTCAAGCAACCAGTCACACGTATCCGTGGCACAAACCTGATGCTGAGTGTTATAAATTAAAAACCTTTATTTACAATTGACATTTTCATCCACGAGCAACAATACCGTTACCATCTACGTGTTGACATGCTTTTGCATGCAGACTACAATACGTTGTGAAAACATTACTTTACTGTATGTATACCAAAATATGTACTTACTTATCAGTGATTAATTCATCAAATTTTCAACGTTGTTTTGTCTTTTCGCCCAATGGAACCTACTTCGTCGGATAACCGAGACTGGCTATTTCTTTCGTTGCGTTTTGCAAGTTGCATGGAAGTTTCAGCACAGTTTAATTAAAAATGGGCTGAATGTTACCGTATATATATACATATTCCCTATTTATGACGTGTTAGATAATACTGATATTACATTTAGCTCCGTCATGGAAGATCCTTCCACGTGATGTGCGCTATGTAATACGAGATTGAATAACACGATTCACTTGGATGATATGAGCTATGAAATATGCATGAGGATCAGCTGTTATGGCAGTATACTGATCAAGGCCTCCATTGTCGTCAACGTGTCATTGACATCTTAAATCTGACAGGTGCAAAATACAAAGGTGAAAATATGGAAGCAGTGGTGTAACGAACTGTTATCATATCATCATATGATGTGTAGCTGATAACGTTCATGTGATGGATTTTTTTTCAGTATCGATTATATCCAACTATACAATAATTGCACAGCTGCTGATCATACAGTGTCGACCTTGCTCTACGCA